CATACTAAACAAACAGGAGACGAAGAGAAAAAAATAGATTGAAAATCGATTATCAAAGGGGTCATCGAATGGGGATATCAACCTATTTCATTTCTCCGGATAAGAACGCACATACCTCTCTCTAGCTGGCTATATCTGGAAAATAACTCACCCTGACAGATTTGGCAAATAACTCACCCTTTCCTTCATGCCACACTCCATTGTTTTCTTCGTGCACACTCTGCAATACCAAAACAATATACACAACATCAATGATGATTTTCCAATAACAGCAGTATATATTTAACATTCATGTTGGTCAATAGTCGAAACACAAAAGAAAACAAAAGAATATGGAATTGGCTCGCAAAGATAAGGCAAAGGGAGAAAAAGAGGGTCAGAGAAATAGAGAGCTGCAGAGAATTACCAATCACAAGTGAGCAAGGAGATGGCGTCTGCGATAACTAAGGTTACAGAGGAGACAAAATCCTCCAAATCGCCTCTAGACCAGTCTCCTAGTCTCTCCTTGGGACTGTTGTTGTCCACACACCACCATGAACGACGGATCAAAGAACTCCCCACTATTGGTCTCATCATAAAAAGCTTAGCTGAAAAGAAATCAAAATAAACTCATTGTGTTCTTAAGCAAACTGGAAACTGCAGTCTTGCCAGGCAACTGCATACCAGGAAAAGAAATCAGTAGACAAACCAAAAGCGATCAAAAACAGCACAAAAGGGCAAGCTACCACAACATGCTTTCCTAGACCCTAGCATTGACATGCACAACCAGGATAGGTTCTTATCAGTATGGGCCGAGTCATGCTTAAGCTTCTTGAGCCTAGCACTGATATTGCAAAACTGGAGTTGCCATTTGAGCTGTGAAGAAACAACTGTACATATATCTAATAAAAACATGGTTCGGTAAAAGCAGAAGTCTGGCATCAAAGCAACAAAATGGGCCAGCTACCTCAATGTTTGGATATGAGAACTCGTAGCCAAAATCAGGTACATAAAGCAAGAGAGCAAACCATTCAGAAGCTTTAGTGGCTCGATCATAACCTGACAAAGAAGCTCGGGAAAATTAAAATTTAGGAAACAATTGTATACAAATCTAGAACCCAAAAGACAGAAACTTTAAAGATTAAAAGATCACTCGTTCATCTTACAATCCCCTCACTAAGCTCGCTACAAATCTGGAAGATGGAGCATCAAATAGAAAAAGAGCACACAAGAAACTTAGCCCTCTTTAAACGGTAAACCTCAGTAGAAAAAATCCAAGACTCCATGAAACAGATTTTGGTTTAGTTTGGTTTCGATATTCTCAAATAGGCTGGCACCAAAAACTTAAGAAAATACCAGGCTTGCTTTCCTCTTGCAAAATCTTTGATCACCGTGTACTATGACATCAAATGTTCACCGACATCTCCCTGGGTAAGACATCAAACAAAGACTTTCGATTAGGGAGAGAGGGAATAAACAATATAAGATCAATGAGAATTCAAAGTCATGGCAGAAAGATCAATCACCTCAAGCAAAAAATGATAATACAGATCTCCGATCCCTATACATATCTCTCAAATATGCTTATTGATCCAATAGATAAAATATGCTAATCAGGGATAGATCAACAGGAGTTTGGAGAAATTGAGAGTGAGGTAGGGAGGGGAGGAGAGAGAGACCTGAGATCGTGGCGGTGGGATTTTGTCAACCTCTCATCAGTCCCCTCAATTACCCTCTCGATCTTTACAGATAGATTCTTCAGGCCGCTGCTTTTTTTTTCCTTTCCACCCGAGCTCTCAGTATTGATTCGTTCCCGAACCATCCTCTATTGCGAGCTTCTTGCTCACTTTAACTCCTATGGTCTTCTTTCTCCTCCTTCTTTAGCCAGGAGACATCGTAGGCGAAAACCATGCGAGAGAGTAGAACTGGGGAAGAGAAACCAGAGAACAGAATTAAGAAAAGATGCATCTAATCATAACATAAGATTGAGATGAAGCAAAACCCTCAACATCGAATTCCCACCTACAGACGGCAGGAAGCAAGAGATACTCACAATTCTCTAGTTCTCCCTCTCTTGCGGATACCCAAAGGCAAGTTTTCCCTCAGCCAGAAAAGGAAAACCCCCAAGAGAGAAAGTGAGAAGTCGATTAGGGAGTTGAACAGGAATCAGAGAAGAACGACCAAAGCAAAGAGATCTCACCATTCTCCGGTTCTCCCTCTCTTGCGGAAACCGCCGGCTGGCGCTCATCAGTGTTGAGGACTCTTCGTCGGAGAGGGACTCTCAAAACCGGCGGGACTCTCGAAACATGTGATTGTAGCTCTCCTCGGAAACCTTCCCAGATTCTCTGACCGCCTAAAACCCAGAAGAATAGAATCAACAGAGGTTATAAGAGAAAGCATACAGAGAGAAGAAGTGAGAGGAGGAGGAAAGATTAAGGGAGAGTGGTTCGAAAGCAAGAGAGAGACCATCTTCGGATCTTTTGTGAGCGGGGGAGATAAAGATCGATGCAGATCCCCTGCGGCAAGAAGCAAACCAGGCAAACAGCAAACAGAGTGAGCAACGCAGCAGTCGAGACCCTTCCACGGTCAAAAAAAAAGCAAAGAATTCATGCAACGAACCGTCTCATCCACACAGAGAGTGCAGAAGTTGAAGACTCTGAAATCGACCGGAGCCTTCACAGGCCACATGTGGAGCAATCGAAGACGGAGAACCACAGATTCCTTCTTCGGACCGGCGAGATTGCACAAAAGTGTGAACTCCATAACTCGAAAAAGCAACCAAGCGAACGAAACCAGAGAGTGCAGAAGAATGAGAGAGAACGGCGAAAGGTGCGAAAGAGAAGTGTGCAGCAGCGTTTGGAAAAGTTGTTGGTCGAGTGAGTTTCTTAGTGGAACGGGCCGAGTTTCGTGTGGGTGGGCTGAGTCGCATCAAATGTCCTTCTCCCAAGAAACCCATCAACCTGTAGACAGCATTCCACCTCCCAAGCACCTGCACGCAGCGGCACCGCCTCCCAAGGACGCAATCATCACCACATAGGCAATTGCAAAGAGCAGAACCACCTCACGAAGAAAGGGGCAAAAAGAACGTGCCCGGATATCCATCACGTGATTCGAGGCCGGCGCGTGAGAGGCGGGAGACCTAGAGTACAAAGCAGAGGGAAACAGAACCCAAACGGCGGCACCGCTACACCAGACGTCAGCTCGCAGCACAGGAACAGAGGCAACGCAGAACAGCAGCCAATCAGATTTCAGGGAATAGTAAAATTGAGTCTGTATGACCAGTAAAAGGTGTCTTGCGCTACAGTAATCGGCGTTAGTGGAAATAATGTTCTTTAATTTGGTATTTGGATTTGTGTCAAATTCATGGGGTGATTTCCAAATACATGTCTAGTGTATTTTTTGTCAACTTCAAATACATTTCAACAACTAGTGATTTGAAATACCTCCTAACAAAAGAATGGACCTATTTGTAAAATATGAAAAGTTTAGGTACTATAGTGTGAGGCAAAACATATAAAGGTACCAAAATGTAATTTTACCATCAAAATTTCAGGACCTTTTTGTAAAATTTTAAAATTTTAGGTACTAAATTGTAAGAAAAATAATTTTGGGTACCAAACTGTAATTTACCAAAATTTGTAGTAAGTGACCAGAAAATTAAAAATTGAAATTGAAAATCATAAAATACAAAATACAAACAAATTACAAATTAGTATCCAAACAATGAATTTGAATTACATGTATTTCAAATGCTAATATTTCTAATACATCCATTTCAAATGCTAATATTTCAAATACCTTACATTTAAAATCCACTTATCCAAACGCACCCTTATTGATTTTCCTGCAGTTATTCCTTTTGCTTCTCCGGGTATATGTGTTGTGTCTGTCTGTCTGTCTATACATGGAGGGAGAGGGATTTAAAAATTGAAATTAAAAATCATAAAATACAAAATACAAACAAATTACAAATGAGTATCCAAACAATGAATTTGAATTACATGTATTTCAAATGCTAATATTTCAAATACATCCATTTCAAATGCTAGTATTCCAAATACCTTACATTTAAAATACACTTATCCAAACGCACCGTTGGGGTTTTTATTTGGAGATTGGAAGAAGGCTTTTAGGGAGGTGAGTAGGCTGTAGAGAGTGGGAGCTAAAAACAAGAAGGGTTTTTTTTTTATTTCTTTCTTTTGGTTTACTCTACTTCTTGGCTCTCCACACAAACACCAAAACTTACAAGTCTATTTATAGGCCTTCACTTACAGAAATATCAAGAGAACCGACTTTTAGATATATGGTTCCTAATTTTTTTCTTTTTGTTTAATCTATTCAACTAACCCAACTACCATAATAAATTTCCCTTCTACACATTTCCATAATCCATACACGTTGATAGTATTCTAGGGAGTTCTGATTTTTTTTTTTCACCTTTATTCTATAATAATTAAACTTTATCAATTTCAAGTTGTACACACAAAGATTGGTACTAGTGTTTGTAACTCTAAATCTTCAGTGTTCTGTATAACTGTCCCCAAACTGAGAAGCTCAGTTCCAATCTTTCTTTTCTCATTAAAAATGTTTAACAACTTGTTGTAGCCTGCAGATTTTTTCTTGTTGCTGTAGTTTATGCAGAATTTTCTTGTTTGCTTATGCTTTGATGTAGTTTTTCAGTTCATTTTCTGTATAACTAGTGTTTGTAACTCTAAATCTTTAGTGTTTTGTATAACGTCCCCAAGTTAGGAAGCCCAGCTCCGGTCTTCCATTTCTCATTAAAAGCGTTTAACTTGTTGTAGCCTGCATATTTTTTCTTGCTGCTGCAGTTTCTAACAGAAATTTTTTGTTTGGTTATGCTTTGATTTATTAGATGACAAAATAATAGGAAAGTCACGTAAACTTTATGTACATATATATTATTTACATATAATATTTATGCAACTAAAATATATTATGTAGTATTATTCGTGCCAATCTGGCGGGTTCGAGTTGGGTTAATCGAGTTTGGGTTAGTCGGGTTACGGGTCAAGCGGGTTGCGGGTCAAGCGAGTTGTGTGTCAATCGGGTTTGGGTCAAGCGGGTCGCGGGTCAATCGGGTCACGGGTTAATCAGGTTGCGGTCAACCGGGTTGCGGGTTGGGCGTGTTGCAGGTCTTTGACTTTTAGTCAAATCAGGTTGCGGGCGGGTTGCGAATCAGATTGATTGGGCGGGTTACTCGGATCGGGCCATGTTTTGACACCTATAGTTTATAGGGACTCAAATGATAGTTATTTTAGTTCAATGGCTTGTTGGAAAGAAATGCAGGTCTTTGACTTTTAGTCAAATCAGGTTGCGGGCGGGTTGCAAATCAGATTGATTGGGCGGGTTGCTCGAGTCGGGCCATGTTTTGACACCTATAGTTTATAGGGACTCAAATGATAGTTATTTTAGTTCAATGGCTTGTTTGAAAGAAATGCATGGTACAAGAGCAAAAAATAAAAAAAGTTTCATAAAAACGACACCCAATCGACAAATACGGCACGGTGAAGAACAAACGTGCAAGCAACTGTGCAAGCATGGTTAGTGTTACCTTTTTCTGATCGGATCAGGATTAGGGGAGTAGGGTAAGGGCGCAGTGTTTAGATTGTATATATATACAGATCTAAAATTCATCTAAGGCCATCTTTGCGGCTGCCCTGTCTCCGACGTTATGAACTCTTTCTCTGGGCGACTTTACTCGAGAGTTCGCCGGAAATCCTAATGTCTTAGACATCTTCTTCGCCGCGGAGACTTTGGGGTACGATTTGTGATACTCTGTTTTTTTTTTTTATATTTATCGCTTTCTTCCAGAATTTGAAAAAAAAAAGGAGACGAGTAAAAGAGATCTAGATTCAACAAGTTTCCAGGTACAGGAATGAAAACCTGAGCATGTCAATTTGTCCAGAATACAACGGTGGATGCTTACGTTTCTGTCGTTGTGTGGCAGCGGAGTCAGCAAACAAGGAAAGACATATCCAACCAGCCACCACGCTATAACCATGTCGTCCATTTGTAGTTTCACAGAGCAGATAGTGAGTTTTTTCGGCGTTATTTTGAGTCCATCCTTTTTTTTTTGTAAAGAAAAGTAGCATGCTTTTGATGTTTCTTTGTTCACCCTCTTAACATCTCTGGCTTATCTCTTCAGGTAGAAGAAGATAAAGGAGATGACCCTGAAGCAGTCGCGGCTGGATACTCTGTTTTCACGGGGAAAGAACCAGTAAGTTTCTGCCTTATCCCTAGCATTAGTTTATGGTTTCCCAGTTGACTTCGCCTAAAAAATTCCAGAACATTGATTGTGGGGTTGCTTGTTTCTACTCTGTAGGAAGGTTTGCAGGGAGAGGGTAGTAGTAGTAGTAATAGTTGTTTAGATCGGATTAGTGGATTGCCTGACGAAATCCTCGTCAAAATTCTGTCCGCCTTGGCCCTCGAGGAGGCAGTTAGAACTGCAGTTCTCTCAAACAGGTGGAAAGATTTGTGGAAATCTGCCGTAACAATTCTGGACTTTGAGGCCCCGACGAAGTTGGAACAAATTCAGGATATCTTTGGGACTCCTAGAGAAGAGCTTCAAAGGTTGCAGGAGGAGCACAGGCGTTGGTTCATTGATTGGGTGAATGGGGTTGTGACGCAGCTGCAGGAGCACAATTCTTGTGCCCCAAAACTGAGCAAGTTTCGGGTATGTTTTAACTTATGCAAAGCTTGCAATTATAGAGGAGATATAGATGAATGGCTGGAGTTTGCAATATCAAAGGGAGTTGAGTACCTTGAGCTGTCCTTCAATCTGTATTATGAGCTTGGGACCTGGGATCGTAAGTGCTATCGTTTCTCACAAGATTGTTCCCGTCACATCAAAACTCCAACTGGGTTGGCCAATATCAAGTCTCTAAGGTCCTTGCGCTTGTGCTCTGTCGATGTCAAGGGTGAGTTGCTGCAGCACTTGATCTCTAATTGCCCCTTGCTAGAAGAGTTGGTTGTGCACAAGTCGAGTTTGCTGAGGACACTGAAGGTCGTGGGTTCATTAACATCACCGATTCCTTTGAAGCACTTGGAACTGACACACTGTCAGCATCTGCAGTCCCTAGAGATTGATCATGCCCCTCATCTCGCACACTTGACACACGAGGGGCATCAGGGTGTGGAATTGCGTGTTGACAATTGTGCACGTCTTGTGGATGTGAACTTTGTCTGTCAATCCATACCTGGTTCCATGATTCAATCGTTTTGTAGGTATGCTGGTCAGTTGGAGTCCCTTACGCTGGAGCTAAGCTATGTAAGTTGAGGAGCAGGAACATATGATGATTTGGATCTACTTCTGTATATATATGTGTGTGTGCACGCATTGGCGGACCCAAAAAATTTTCATAGGGGTGTCCTCTTTTAAAAAATAAATTAAATAAAAATAATTAATAAAAATAAAATTGTAAATATGAGAATACCTTACCCGTACAGGTTAAAAAAGTTCATGATGTGTTTTCATATTCGAAAATAATTGTAGAATACACTTGGTGTCTATAGTGTTAAAAAAATTGTCTCTATATACACTACTAGACAATCATTCACGAACTTATCGCATATTCGATTTGTAAACTTGTTCTTGATGTAACCCAAAGCTGAAAGACTCTTTCAACACTTGTCGTACAATCATAAAATTAATACAAATTAAAGGTAGTTTGAAATTAGTTTAATTGTTAGGTTTTTAAAATAATTAGAGATAGGGAATGCCATTTTTCTATTACACATTGTTCAAAATCGAACAACAAATGAGTTTAGCTCAGCGGAAATTAAGTTTATTAATAATAATAGTGTTCTAGATTTGAATTATCCAACCTACCACTTATATTCCTATACACAAATGACAATAGGATAATCATTTTTTCAAATTTAAGGGGTGTCCCTCACTATCAATTATATTTTTTTGTCCATACGTAAATTACCACCGGGGTTAGATAATCGTTTTCCCAAAATTTAGGGGTGTCCGGGGACACCACTAAACCTCCCTGGGTCCGCCCCTGTGTGCACGCTTGACAAGGAAATAACTCTTTCAATATAATTTCAACGTTTCTTTTTCGTAGGGGGGCTTAAGCTTTCCGGATGTGGGCGAACTCCACCTCAAGTGGCTCACACTAAGACTTCATGCATCAAAGGATGATAGTATGCTCGGCATGATTCCTTTGATCGACGCATGCCCTCGTCTGCAGAAACTGACGGTGAAGGTAATAAACTTTAGACCCAAAAGCACTGTTATTAAAACCGGGTCGGACCGACCGCGAAAACCTGGATCCGTCCAGCTTTCCGGTTTTGGTTGGCTAAAAACGCAACGAAAATTATCGGCCGGGTATCGACCGGTTCAACCAACTAACGATGAACCCGGATGAACCGTACCGGCGGTTGCTGACCTTCCATTTTTTCCCCTTTGAATGACCTTTCGTTTCTTATTCTTTCTATTTAATATTTATTGAAAATTTATTATTTTTTCAAAATCGAGACATTAAAAAGGGAAAGAAAATATAGGTTTCCTCCTTTTTACAAAATTTTCACTTTTTTGTTTTCTCCTGCGACCACCCACTACTTTTCATTTTCCATTTTTAACTTCTCTTTTCTTTCTTTCCCTAACTACGTTCTCTTTTCTTCTCATTAATTCCTTCCCTCTTCTTCTTATTTTCAATTCCCCAATTTAAGACACAACCGGTCAAAAAACTACAAAAAAGGTATAAACTCTATCTTCCTAATCAATTTGTCCAATGATTATACAGTAGTCTTATTCATTTATGAGTGATATAATTATATTTTTTAATATTGAATTTTTCAATTGATGTGTATAAAATATATAATTCTCATTTCTCAATTTAAATACTAGTATTAATTTTCATATGTATCATGAAGTCATTTTTATTTTATTTTGAAAACTTTAATGCCACCGGTTTTATGATCGGTTTTATATCTGTTAATTACCGGTTATCCGATAAACCTTAAACCTCTCACTAATCCGGAGCATTGCCCGGTCCAGATTTAACAACACTGCGGCCAAAAGGAAACGAACAAGTAGTCTAGTCTTCTGTTGATATCTTTTGTTTGGCTTCTCGCTCCTATTCTAAGTTCGCCTTTTTTCTGGTTTGGTATAAGTTGTAATGTTTGTCTTCTTCTTCTTCTCCCTTGCCACAGCTCCATACAGACACCGGTAACCAATGTCGGCGCTATCGACATGTTAAAAAATGTCGTGAGAGCATCAAAGTGGTAGAGATTGTTGGGTTTTCAGGCTATCATGTCGATTGCGAATTTGTTGATTATGTGCTGGAGCATTACGTGGGGTTGGAGACTATAGTGATTGATAGAGGATTGACCACTCCGTTTAAGGGTCGCCTAACGAACTATTGCGGTGAGGAACAAGCCAACATAGCCAGAAAGCTTGCCTTGGAGCTCAAGTCTAAAGCATCCCGGTCAGTTGAATTTGTTGTAATCTAGTTGTCTCATAATATTGCGGTGAGGAACACGCCAACATAGCCAGAAAGCTTGCCTTGGAGCTCAAGTCTAAAGCATCCCGGTCAGTTGAATTTGCTGTAATCTAGTTGTCTCATAATATTTTGGCTAAATACAATTTAATATCCAAACCTTTTATTTTAAACAATATAATAGCCAAACCTTTTCGAAAACAATCTAATATCCAAATCGTCAACTTTTTGTCTGTTTGACCGTTAGTTGACACTTCAAAAAAGTTCGAAGTACGACACTTCATCAATATCCATCGATATCTTCTCTGAAAAACCACCAACATATCGTAGTTCCAAACCCGAGAAGTCCATGACTCCACCATGATGATATAGAATATCTAAATATTCAGTCATCTGCAATGCCAAAACAAGAAACAAAGTTGTATTGTGACAATTTCCCCTAAACGAACGGAAAGTTGACGATTTGGATATTAGATTGTTTTCCTCTCTTTTCTCCATATCTAGGCCACTGAAGTTTCAATGGTTTGGTGGCTGTTTAATGTCCTCGCCTGTTGTGTTTGGATCTCAGTTGTGGGCTCAGTTTATCGCCGAACTTCAGTGCGGGGCGGACAGAGACACACCAAAAGAGGGGGACGAGTTGTGTTCAAAATAGTTCCACGACAACGGGAACAAGAATGCCTCGAATGCCAATCTTCTTTTCTTGATAGATGGGCTGAACGGTGCTTTCTTCTCTATTGATTTTCTCGATCTAACTCACATTCATTTATATTCACATTCTTTGAGGAATTAGTGTGCTTGCTTTGCTATATTGTTTGTTTCAATTAAACAAAATTTCAATCCTTGCTGCTCAGTATGAGGTTCAAGAGGAGTTGCAGGAACCTTTCAGCTTCCATATGAAACTAATTATGTTCACCATCATTTGCATTTACAGGTGGGAACCTGTAGTATGAGCATGCTTTTGCTGCTGCTAGATTCGAGAAACTTGATTCTCCTACACCATCATCACTTGCCTGTTCCAGTCCATTCCACTAATCTTTGAAACTCTTCAGGTAAATGCTATCTATTTTTATAGTACTTATTTCTAGCATTGTTCTTGCCTATTCTGATTTGATTTCATGAGTAATTAAAGCCCTTAAATTAAGAGGATGCTTGTTCTTATACTGCCCTGCAGGTAGATGTTAACCACATCCGTGTAAAGCAGAGGAGGCTGCAGGGAAGGTAGGAGGATATTTATATCTCCCAATTGCTATTTTGTTATTTTGCAGTGTGAATTGTCTTTGATTAGATATGGATGCTTCTTTATTTTGTTACCAGTGCTAAGCACGCTGAAAGAGATGGTTGTGCAGATAGTTCTGTGTTTTATTTCCCTCTGGTTTTGGATGTAGATTGACTTTTATTGTGGGTTACTATGGAGCTAGATTCTTTGGCCAAACGCAACGAACCCTCCAGGAACAAACCATACAGTACCAAGTTAGTCATGGTTAATCGAGGGCAGAGGTTGGAACCACCAAATCAGGTATCCTTTAAGCTTATGGAGTTATTGTTTCCTTTGCTCGAAGATCGTATGTTATACTAATTGTGGTGTTGCTAAAAGAGAGGATCTTTTGGGTTGCCCTTATTCACTCATCTAAATATTTTTTCTTAATTTTGCTTTATATTTGTTCAAATTTCTCTACCTAACCTGATGTGTTTCCCTGCTATCTATAATTGCTATTCCACAGCTAACAACTAAACTCAAATTATTTATAGGTAGTTCATCAATCAACTAAAACCATCTACTGAAGCTCGAGTCATCAGTCCAACTATCATCATGTACAAAGCATTTAAAGTGAAATCTTCTAGAAATTGGTGGTCTACCAATTGAAGAACAAGTACGTGGATTATTTTTATGTTTATTATGGACATCTCTCTTCTACAAACTAAGACTTTCATTCACGATATTGGGTCCTCCATATGCAAAGTTAGTATCGACCATGTTAGTTTATAGCTTTGTATTTTAGTGCCTCTGATATTTTGAAGGGGATACAAATTATTGGAGAAATTTTCAATATTAAGGGGATGCGACTTCAGAGCCAAAATAGTGCATTCCGTTCCTAATTTTTGCGTTGAATAAAACAAACTTTTTGTTTGCTTTTGGAACCTTTAGTTGCAGACAGGAGAGTGGACAGTGTAGCCACAGTGGCGATTGCTGAAAGCAAGGACTTCAATAAGAAACATAAGCTTGGAGAAATGGTTATGCAGGGTGGGACAGCACCTTGACAATCCGTTAGGTATTTAACCTCTTCAAATTAGATTGCAGTTCCTCTAATAACCTCAGTACTAAATAAATTAGACATTGCTTGGTGTCCTGCTATGTAATGATACATTAGTGCTTAAATGAAATTTGTTGATCTTGCAAGAATGAAGTGCCAAAATCATCGAACATTCCTTTCAATTATAGGCATTCAGTTCTATGAACTAAATTTGCACAAACTGGTAGTTCCTTTTTTACGGTTATGATTTTGAGACTTTGGACATACATTACATGTTCAGTTTCAGTTATATAAGAAGTCATACATATTTGATGATTACTTGAGGTGAAACTGATTTTTTATTGTTGTACATTTAAACAAATTAGAGGTTGGCCAGGTCCATGTTGTTTCTCTCAGGTTTTCTTTCCCTTTTCTGCTGCTGTTTAGACGGGAGTCTAAACTTAAAGACTGAAGTCTCTACTCTCTTATATGTTTAATAGGAGTGGTGGGAGTCCTCTGTCACTGGTAATTGGAGGTGGGTATCTCAAATGACTTTGTGCCTAAATTGTCGTCTGACTTGCTTAACATAGAAGGAACAAACGATAGTTTTTGAAAATCCAACATTATTGGTTGACCATACGTTGTAGAGATCTCGAGAAGCAATGCAAGCAACCATCTATATGCTCCTACATGGAGAGGGTCAAAGAGATTACAAAAAACAGCTGGAAACAAGATGATGCATAGAGCGGGATATTAAAAGAAACTAGGGAATTGCAGTTTTAGAGCAACTCCATTCAACAACGCAGTCCTATTCAACACGAAAAGCATTTTCAGTTGGCAGTCAGATCAGTTGGTGGGAATAGAAGCTTGATTTGATGTCAAGTGTCACCTTGGATAGTCATAGCCGATGGATATACTTTTGGAGATTATGTTATAGGATTTTAGTTCTCATTACAGATAAAGTTATTGCAGGCAGCATTTTTCAGTTTTTGCACGGGTGTACTGCACATTGTGGTCAATCCAATCAGTGATTCTACTTAGCTTACTATGAAGTGTAATCTTGCCTTTGTAGATTAGATAGTGAACTGTAACTAAATTTGATAATTACAGGTTTCTTTCATACTTCAGGTTGCTGCAGAATCAGAAAGTGAACTTACCAAACTAGAGGTTGCAAATCTGTTTTCTTTACCCTTCTGGTGTGAAAAGGGATTTACTCGGCCTATATATATGATTAATTTGCCATTTGGAACTACAAATAGGGGTTTAAATTCTTACGTTGTCAATTCTGGATTTAATATTGTATACTCTTGGCTGCTTCAGTTTGCAGGTGTTCTGTTTGTATTGGGTTTCTAAGCAGGTATCTCATGCCAAACTTCAGGAGTATTTGATTCTCCTTCAGGAATATTGTATACTCTATTAAGGCGCTTATAATCATTCTTGCATTGCGTACTTCTTCCTTCAAGCATAATTCTCATAAGATGTATTCATTTACACAATCTGGAGACTTGGAAGGATGTGTCGCTTATGTCCCTATTCGAAGTGTTGTCATTGAAGTTTGACTACCATCCTTATTTAATTGTATTGGTCCATTTTCTTTCAATGGAAGATAGCCAAATCCAAACTAAGAACCACCTATTTGCGTATGAAACATTCGGAACATATGGTTCTTGCTTTTTGTATATCATTTCTCGTTATTTGGGTTATGATTATATGCAAGCCAAGGAGATTAGTAGGAAGGTGAAGGGATGCAAGTGCATAACTGAAGAAAGGTTTGTAAGGTTTCGGTAGGAAACTCTTACACGTAGCTTTGAGTTCGTATCTCCTAAATAGAGTTATGTCAACAAGTTGAATTCGGTAAGAAACTCTTAAGAGTATACTTATCATTCGGCTATTCATCGAATTAATAGAAAGATTGTCACTCAATGTTGTTTATATCTTTTATGCACTTAATCATGAGCCCAATTAGAATATGATGATACACAACACTTTCAGTGGTATTAAATTTCTATAGCTCTAGCCTCACCTGCCGTTGTCTTGCGGGTTATATTCCTATGTTGATTAATTTAGTTATAAGAAAAAACCCTTACTAATACATAATAATTAATGTGTAAATTTTCGCTAGGTGGCACAAACAATACTCCGCTACAGGGGTACGACCAATGTGCTCCCATTCAACCCAGCTATCTTGCCCTTTCTCAAAAGGGCACGGTTGGACCCGATTAGGCATTTTAACGGCATTAAAGTTGATCGCCAACTCATCACCGCATTAGCTGAGAGATGGAGAAAGGAGACCCATTGTTTCAACTTTAGAGAAGGAGAGGCCACCATCACGCTAAAGGATGTCGCCATCCTAACCCATCTGCCCATCGACAGCAAACCAGTGTGCGCGAGTGATCATCCCCCGAGGATCGTGACGGTATGCCCGGTTGGGTTCATTTCATCCACAGTGTTATGGGGGTGAAAGTACCAGTCAAAGGGAGCGTTGATGCGACCGATCGCTTTCCACCAATGAGGAAACACCATTGACGAAGTATTTTAGAGACCATTACGAGAGCCATCCCATAACCGAGGAAAGTCCGGAGGATGAGAAGGAAAGATATGCTCATGTCTATCTCATAGGCATGATCGGAGGAGTGTTCTTCTCCAAAAAATCAAGCAATCTCCTTAGCTGTGGATGGCTTAGGATCATCCTCGGTAGTTGGGAGGAGATGGGAGAGTTTAGCTGGGCATCCGCTTGCCTAGCTAATATCTATCACAATTTGTGCAATGCGTCTCTAAAATCTGTGAGGGAGGTCGGCGGCGCAATGTTCATCGTCCAATTTTGGGCTTGGGAGCATATGCCATGGATTGCACCGGTCCAACGTCCCGACAGGGATTGGCCAATCGATCATCCCCTAAGAGGTGAAGCTTATGGTACAAGGTAAACTTCTCATACCCCATCATGTTTTTCATAACACATTTTCCCTTGTGTTTTAGCTTATTGTAGTTTCATTATTGTCTTATTAATAAGGTGGCTCGGACACACAATATGCGACAACCTTCACCAACACAAGTTGGTCGAGTATCGGAGGAGGTTTGAGCGACTTTGGAAAGGAGAGGTAAATTCTATACTTCGATCCATTTATATATTTTTTTCATGGATTACTTGTATTTTTCCAATTCTGATAAACTTAAGTTACTCATTTCTTTCTTGTAGATCGTCTTCGATCCATACCTGGCTCTGGGGGTTGTATCTCTTCATCTTGGTATCAAGGGGAGAAAACAGTGCCAGGGTTAGACGCCTCCAATGCCAAAATTAACCTGGGAAGGAATGCATATGATTCTTCCCAATCACCAAAGACGGCGGCCAGAGCTTTCTGCTTTCCATGCCACGCCTTCTTATAGTTAATCATATAATCATAACGACTTGCAATGTCAGCGATTATGACTTTCACCTTCAGGTCCGGATCTTGCTCAATTAGATGCTTGATAGCCGCAGCAACCACCCTGGGTTTCAACTGTCGATGGCCTTGGGAAGTTATGGATGACACACATGTGTGTGTATTCACCGTCTAGAATGTGATTGTAGTAGGAGACTGGTACACGGTCACGAGCCACCTCATCATCATTATCTGAGTCCGACTCTGGTCCTGAATCATCTTCACCTTCAAGAGGGTCAGAGCTGTCTGCACTGACGTTGTTCTCTTCTTCTTCATCGGAGGGGTCACTAACTGGTGCTGGCAGGCCAGCTTCCATCTGATCCAGCTCATGAAAGACACCTTCATCAACTCCATAATGGTAGTTGTGAAAACTACCGCTGCCTGATTGGAAGTTGTACTGAGGTTGGTTGGGGAGGTCCGGTTGAACTTCTTCTTCATATGACGGGAAAGATTGATGATGACCTTCACCTTGCTCTTGGTACTGAAAATAGGAATGAGGATCATGGTAACTTTGGTAGGGATGATCGCCATATAATTCACCTCCACCATGGATACCAGATGTTTGACCGTGTCCAGAATGACCTCCAACACCAACGGCCGCCTCGGTGTAAACGAACATCTCGGCTTTGGAAAGATTGTTGGACCTCAAGAATTCGAGCATGAAATCTAATTCATCATGAGTGGTTATGAGATATTCCTCATGCCACAATGACCCACTTTCTCTGTTTGGATATCAGTACACCATACGATCAACTCTTCTCGTGCCATCCATGCAAGTAACGTTAGTGCACATTTGATGGAGGTCTTCAAGCAGCGGTCTGGTAGCGACCTTTATTTTCTGAAAATTGCCACCGACGTAAGTGACCCCCTTTCCGGTATCTTCTG